TGCTGTTTTACTGTCATATAAAACTGATCTACTCTATCTGTGGTGTACTTACCTGCAAGCCACGTGGAGGGGTGTGTCCAACGAATCAGATGTAATTCCTGCTGCAGCTTTGTTTTTGGTCATGAACAAATGAATATTCTGAAAGAACCAATTCAGAATTAGTCTACCCGGCTCAGGTAAGGAACATTCTTTAATACAAAATCTCTTACATATCAATGCATTTCATCGGCCAAGATTGTCGTGCCGTTCTACTCCCTCGATTTTTAGCAAAATCGAATCAAATCTCATTTACATGTGGAAAGAAACGGAAAAGCAAGCGCCCTAACATAAGTACTAGATTATGTTGCCCGCAGATCACAAGATAAATAATGTTTGAAATATTATACTTAGTGATTTAAAATTCTTATTTCTAAATCTAAAATGGTTTCTTGTGGGTTCCCTGTTTTTGCCACAGGTTGCCCAAGTCCGTACCTGTAGATGTCCTCCCATCGCTGCCTGATGAATTGGAGCGAATCCATTCTTGTCTTTCTCAGAGATGAGATACGATGCTGCAGGACTCTGAAAAAAGAGAGGGAAATTTATACGACGACGTGAAGATTATGGAAGAATTACGTTTACACGCGCGATATTTGCAGTGCGATTGTCGCGCGACAATCGCAGTTATTTGGTTTTAACTTCAAATCGCTCGTGTAAACAGTCTTTGATTATTGTGGCGATCTTACTTTGAGTATAGCATCGATAGTATTATCGTGTCCTACAGCACTATGCAGTACAGACTTCATTGCCAGGTTCTTTGCTGTAATGTTGGCGCCACGCTTTATCAAGAGCTCCACAGTCTCTGTCGCTCCACTTGACGCTGCCATAAAGAGCGGGGTTCGGCGTGCTTTGTCTGGAAGATCAACTGAAGCACCCTAAAAGATACAACGAAATCAAATATTTGATTATGGTGGAGAATAAAGTGGAGAAGGTTGGGGAGAAGGTTGGGGAGAAGGTTGGGGAGAAGGTTGGGGAGAAGGTTGGGGAGAAGGTTGGGGAGAAGATAGACCTCCACGCCTTGGGTGTAATGTTTTCCCATTTGAGACCACGTGTCATTCTCTTGAGAATACGATTTTTGTTTTTATATGTATCCATAACTATATGCCTTCTCTTGCACAACGGCTAAACAAAGAAATAATGCTCCAGGGAATAACACGTTGTCTGAAAACATTGCGCCCAAACCAAGGAGTTTTGTTGGGGAGAAGGTTGGGGACAACCCTTAAAGACCCCGCTACACGCAACGATTTTTAGTGCAATTTGTTTTACGAGGAAATTTTTCGGCAGATTGCATGAGCATTCTACTTGTGCATCATACACTTGCGCTACTGGTATTTTTCCAGAAGAGGTAATAAAATCTCCTACTTTCTGCAACCATTTTCTTAAAATTTTCTTCTACGACATAGGAACTTGTGACTTGTCACGCAACACAACACAAGTTCTAACCAATCAGAAAGCGAGAATCACAATAATTTGGCTTTCAAGTACATCCAAATACAAATAATATCAAGGCACGCTTTTTTCTGATATGTTTTCCCTCCCATTACATCCAGCTTTTATATCATGATTGTTTCAAAATATGCATATGCAACTTGCATTAGTATTTTTCGCGATAATACTCTTCTATCACCTGCTGAGAGAAGTTGCTCGAAAAATCGTACTATGCAATGCAAGAGGACCTTGAAGTAACAGTATACTACCAGTAATATATCCAATCATTCGCTTCCCATCGCGCGATACAAGTTGCAACAGAACTCGGCCTTTTAACACTCTCGTGTCACCTGCTGAGACAAGTTTCTCGAAAAATCGTGCTAAGCAATGTATATTATCAGTAATATATCCAATCATCTTCTCATTTCAGGACAACGTATCATTTCTTTCGTCACTGAAGCATTTCGTTTTTTGATATGAATCGTTCTAGCTGCCCTTCGAAACGAAACGACCGAAAAAACAACTGAAAGTGTGTGAACATTTTGAGTCTTTGACGAAAAACTCTAGGAAGAAATGGATGAGGGGGTGAGGTAGCGAGAGCATGTGGGGGGATTACAGTGTAGTCAATAACTACGCCAAACTAAGTCAACGAATAGTCACGTGCTGATATCACTGTGAATCAATTCAGCCAAAGATCACTTGGGGAAGGCTCTGCCTGTGGATGGCAAACAAATTTTAAACTACTTCGTATCTTGAAATCGAAAGCATGCCACTAGGGAAAAAATAGCATTTTGAAAAATTTTTTGATCAAAACGTATTTTAAAATAGAGTAGTCCGCATTTTTCTTGGCAGGCAGCAACAGTCACGTGATCATGTCCTGTGAGCAAGCGTCATTCTCTAGCGATTGTAATTTCATGCGCCACAAAGAAACAAAGAAATGAATACTCTAGGGAATGACAAGTGGTTTGTAATGGGAAAAAATTTCCCGTGTTCAAATTGGGTCTATTTCTCACCTGATCAAGGAGAAATTCAACAATGTCTCTTTGGTTGTTAGTGGCCGCGCGATGAAGGCCAGACATACCTCCCTTGTCAATCAAACAAATGCGGCAGATTGCAGGGTCTTGTTTCGTCAGCAGGCGCACCATCTCCACAGGACCTTGAGAACATGCAAGATGGAACGCTGTTGTCTTGTCAGTTCTCTAATAAAAGAAATTGCGGTTATTGTATTATATTAATCTAAAATTTCTTCAACAAAATTTTTTGTTCAGTTTCGTTTTAACTCAGTTGTAAGTTAGAGCAAGCTTTTGCAAATATCGGCCAATGAATGTCAAAATGGGGGAAAATCAATATTACTAAAGTCAGCAAAAAATAAGATATAAGGTTTCTTCATACTTTGAAGTTATTAGATATCATATAATATTAACTCCTGTGCACTTAGTTTTGCAAAATAGCTTTTTGTTCGCAAGAAATTTGAATGTTTATGAAAACAGGCAAATATGCTAATTTCATGACGACTCTTAAGTTGAGATGAATCACCGATCTCGTGCACAAAATACAATCAATACGTTACCTTTCTAACCTAATAAACTATCTATATGCGTCACAACGCTTTTCAGACATGTAGCTGTAACGAAGAATTTCTGGAAGAATTATTTGCAAGACACAGTACTAGTTTTCTTGAGCTTAAAAGTTTACTCAAAACAAGTGAGAATTTTACCATGGCAGATACAACGAAAAAGCGAGATTTTCCCTGTATGTGATTTGACGATGATATTGTTCAAGATTATGAAAAACATTCATAGGTAAATGTGCTTTTAAGCTTCTACAATCGACCAAATATACCTAATTATCATATGATCCCTATTCGCCCGGGCGCGCGCTCTTAGAAAAACCTTCGGGAAAATGGCGTGAGCAGGGCCGTACGGCTTTGAGAGATCAGGGCCGTACGGATGCGTACGGCCCTGCTCGAATCCGCGCGCTTTCTCTTTTTAAGCTTTTATTTACTATTTCTTTCTTTCTTTTATTTTATTATTTTTCTTTTCGTGAGGGTCATATGATAAAATGCTTATTGACTGAGTTAGGAAACAAAGAGACAGGACGTGATTGGTTGGTACATGTGACTAACAGAGGTCAACAGGAATTAAACTGTAGAAATCTGACGCCGAAGCATCCTGGCCGTATTCTTGTATATGCGCATGTCACAGAAAGTGTCAAGTTCTATTGTTGGGTCGCACTCAGCACTTAAGCCAAAACAAAAATTTGATCGCCAAATTTTCTCCAAAGTTTTGGTCTTTACACCGGAAATGACATTTTTTTGATCTTTCTTCTTGATGTGTTTGTGGTCGCACTGACGTTTGCAAACTTGGCAATGTAACAGTTTATTAAAGCAGTGCCAAGCAATGAACTCTTTATTTCGAGCGATTTTTTATAAACATATTTCCAACAATGCGTACAGTCGAAGCACTAGCGATAACTATAAGCCTTTTCTACCTTTTTTATTTTCAAATTCAAACTCAACTTCAACAAGCAATTTGTTTTGCAATTTTGTCTTGTTATATGCAAAGGAGAAGTCTTGTTCGTCGAAGATTACACCACTGCAATCCATACGCCTGGAGAGCTCCTAGTCCAAAGTACGACTTAACAAGGATACAATTAACGTTCTAATGAATTCCGCTCTAGTTGATCAGATATCAGGGTTCTGTTTTCCTGTAAGATGACAAGCGATGATAGTTCCCGCTGTGATTTCTTTTGTTTAGAGAAATTTTGACCAAAAAGTCCAGTTTCTACCCTGTTCGACGGCGCCTTTGATATTTTGGTCAGTTGGCAGAGTTTTGATGGACGGTCAAATTTATAGTCTCCCCCACAGCCGCTTTCAGTGTCGTCACGCAACGCTTTCTACTCAGGGGAGAAAGCGTTGCGTGACGACACTGGAAGCGGCTGTGGGGGAGACTATCAAATTTACGGTCGCACTAGAAATGAACTTGTGATGACAGGTTTGGTCGTATTAAGACACCAAATCCTATCAAACTTTGCCTAGTGCAATAGCTCAATTACTGGTAAGTTTATTTTTGAGAGCGCCTGCGGTTCACATGACCTCGAGTGAAGCTGTGCAAAGCCACATCTAACCATTGAAACATGAATTCGAACAACTATTCAAGAGATAATACGTGCAAGATAAAATAGCAGTACCACGACAACATTGTACTCCCCCCCCCCCCCCCGGGGATTTGTGCCGTCCATTCCGCCTCAAATGGCAGTACCACAACAATGATTACTAATTCTTCAAGTGATTCACGTATGCCTTCTCCTGAAGACTCGGAAACATCCACGCGATAACAATGTCATGTAAATTACATTGCGTAGGGATTGTTTAATCGCAGTGCGACCTCAATATATGTAAATTTGTATTTGATTTAAGTGCGAAATTTTTTTCATAATCTTGAACAAAATCATCTTGACATCACATACAGTGAAAATCTCAGTCGCTTTTCCGTTGTATCGGCTATGTACTAATGGTAAAATTCTCACTTGTTTTGAGGTTACTTTTAAGTTCAAGAAAACTGTATTGCAAATAATTATTCAAGAAATTCTTCGTTACAGCTACCTGTCTGAAAGTCAAGTATTGATTGTACTTTGTACACGAGATCGTTGATTCTTCTCTATTTCAGAGTCGTCAAATTGTCAAAGTCGTAAGATTTCATCCGAACAAAAAATAATTTTGCAAAACTAAGTGCACAGGGGTTAATATTATATGATAGGTACGATGGCCGAGAAGGGACTTCAGACTTCAGACTTCCTTTTCGGCCATATTGATTGATTTCTTTACAAAGTAAATACGAAATGACACGTGGTTTGAGTGACCATAAGTCTGAAGTCTGAAGTCCCTTCAGGGCTTATAAATTCATTTAGAATAATTATTTAGCAATAAAATATTAAACATCGATGGAAACTATTGTAGTAAAAGGATAAAAACCCTCATTTCTACCTTTTCGGCCATATTGATTGATTTCTGTACAAAGTAAATATGAAATGACACGTGGTTTGAGTGACCATATTAAGTCTGAAGTTTGAAGTCTGAAGTCCGAAGTATGAAGTATGAAGTCTGAAGTCTGAAGTCTCTTCTCGGCCATCATAGATAGAGTACAATTTAACTTCAAAGTATGAATAAATCGATTTTTTGACTGTTGCCACGAAATTTCGAATAATTTGTCTGGCTTTTACAGACAGCCGCTCTTAAACGCTCTATTATGTCACGTGAATGTAATCAACCATGTGACAATGATTACGTAATGTCCAAAGTATATATTTTGACTGGCAAGGCTTTGGAACTCGATTCAAAACCAACCAACCAACCATGGCTGAAGACATCGCTGAGAAAGGATTTATCTCTCGATGGAGGAAGGTAATAATCTTATTTCTGAGCGGAGCTATGTTGGTTTCGTTTGGCGTTGTGCTCAAAGTGATTGTCAACAAGATATTCAAGTCCGAATTAAAGTCACAACTGGTGATAAGTCCAGACAACAGTTCGCTCCGATACCGAGAATGGAAATTTCCAACAGTGCCTATTCATATAGAATTCTATCTGTTTGACATTATAAATGAACTTGAAGTAAGACAAGGTGGGCTGCCATGTGTAAAGCAGAGGGGACCATATTCCTACAGGGAATTCTTAGACAAGAAAAACATCACCTTCGATAGCGAAAGGACTAAAGTATCTTATAATGAGGAAAAAACCTATGTCTTTGATAAGGAACTTTCTTGTCCAAGCTGTGATCCTTTCAAAGACAATATCACTACTATAAATATTCCATATGTGATTCTAAGTGTAGTTGCTCAAGGTTATCCCTGGATAGCTAAATTTGCCATCAATCTGCTACTTGAGACAATGAACGAAGATTTGATAATGAGGAGAAGTGTTCAACAAATAATATGGGGATATAATGATACTATTTTCACGGAGTTTGAAAAACTGAAGGAGAAATTTAAGATTTCTTTCATCCCAGATGTTTCTCCTCTGATGAACTTACAGCCGAATAAATCATTTGATGGGGAAGTGACGGTGAACACGGGGAAGGATAATTTGAAATTGGTGGCCACGTGGGAAAGATGGAAAAACAAAGCAGACGTTGGATTGTGGAAAACCAAGTACGCTAACATGTTCAATGGAAGCGACGGAACTCAATTCAATCCAGGGATAACCAAAAGTGATCTGCTGTACTTTTTCTCATCAAATTTATGTCGTTCAATATATTTGAATTTCGATCTCCAACACTCTATCGAGGGAATAGATGTCTATAGATTCACTACGCCGCCTTCATTGTTCGAAAATGAAACTTCTAATCCAGATAACAAGGCATTTTGTCTACATCGTTGCTACCCGAACGGTATTCTAGCAGGAAACAGAGACTGCAAGCCTAGTTCTATCGAGTCTCCCATTGTCATTTCTACACCTCATTTTCTCCTGGGCGATCCGTATTTAAGACAACAGGTCCAAGGTCTTTCTCCAAACAAAGATAAACATGGTCTCTTCCTATCGATAGAGCCCATGACTGGCATTCCTTTGCAAGCTCTGATACGCTTACAAATCAATCTTCATATCCAACAAGTCGATTACATTACTGGAACCAAAAACATTCGCGAATCTTATGTACCAGTAATGTATTTCAGTAACAATGCTACAGTAGATCATAGCACGGCTAAAATGCTTCTTGACGACCTTATTATTCCACTTAGGGTTTGTTTCTATGTAGAAATAGGACTATTTTGTCTTGGAAGTCTGTTAATTTTAATTGGTGGTGTTTTGTTGATCAAACGGATCAGGAGGTCGAAAAAACCCATCTGCGTCAAAATCAATGATGTTAACGATAGAAACGGCTATAATTCTGAATCAGACCCGCTGATTCCTAAATCATAAGATCATCTTGTGCAACGTTTTAATTCCAATTTATCGCGATTCAAAATATACAGAATTCCAGTTGATGTACTGTTGATGTGTGGGTCAACATGTTGGTATTGCAGTTAATCCTGTTTTAAAATATTTTTATTAAACCCAACTCTGTATCAAGGAAAGGATTTGAGGTTTTGGACGGTAGAGATAAATTGAAAACTGAAGAATTATGGCAATTTAAACAAAAAGCGGCCGTCAGATTTCACGGCTGAGATTTTTATAACAATAATTGCTAAAATTTATATAGCGCTCGTACTATACAATAGTCAAGAGCACTTAATAATAATATTATATACAGTCAATAAAAATAGAAAAAAATTATTTTAAAGACATTTTTCAAGATTGAAATATAGGTAAAAATGAATAAATAAAATAAAGATAACAATAATAATAATTAGGTGCAGTTATGTGGTAAATAGAATAGAAACGTTTTGAGTCTGTTTTTAAAGAGTTCAACATTGTCTCTGCCCGGTTGTACGAAGACTGGATAGCGCTATCCGGTGAATAAGTCCTTATCCAGTGGATAAGTCGATACTGTCATTCACTGATAAGATTTATCCGTTGGATAGCGCTATCCGGGCTTCGTACAACCGGGCCAGACAAAGCGTTCCAGACTTTCGAAGCAGCTACAGAGAAGGCACGATCACCGAAAGATTTACATCGTGTTTGAATAGGTTTAAGTAACAGTTGGTTGTTTCTCTCCCTAGTGAATAGCGACTTTCAGGCTGGACAACAAGTAGATCTTATAAGTATGGTGGAGCCAAGTACATAATGCGATGCTTGACTGGACAAGTAAAAGATAATGATGGCATTTTAAAAGTATTTCCTCGAAGAACAAAAAAAAAACAAAACAGAACTAGACAACGTATTCACATGTATTCAAGAAGAAGTCTAATTGGTAAGAACAAAACACAAAAGAAAGTACACATTAACTGACAAGAAGCTTAAGCAAATTTCAAACATGGCTGGCTTTTGAATTAGTTGACAACAACTTGAAGTATTTGTGAATGAAACCGTTCATTTTAGCACTCATTAATCAGAAAACTGATCCCAAGAACTAATAAAGAGATGGAAAATATTGGAAAGAGATTTTTGACTGTAATAATAGAAACGGAAAGCTATACAAATTATAGAAAAAGTTTACTGAGCTTATAAGTTAAGACATCAAGTCAATATGAATGAAAACAAAGCCGACGGTTGACCGTCGTTTTCAGTAAAGTTTTCATGAGTCTATTGAGTCATAGAAAACTCGACCTCGTAGTCTAATTGTTAAATATGAAGGATATATAGGTAATTGAATTAGCGGTGTTGGTCGTGAAAAAAATGTAAATGTTAAAAGTAAAGGTTTATGTATATAGAACGAAAAGTTGATATGACCCTGGATATCCCATATAACTATGGCCACGTCCAAACATATCCGTATATTAATTGAAAACGGATTTGTTTCATTGCAAGTATCCCGCGAATACTGACGACTGGACGCATCGTTCACCTTGATTAACCTTCAAGTGTACAAAGAGAGGACTCTGGCTGATAGAAGTTGACAGTCCAGTCTATTAAGGTCAAAACTGACAACCACCTGATTGCAGACTAAATATTTTTTGGCATCAATGATCTTTTGTATGCAAGACGCATATTGTTATTTTATTATCCTAGTGCGCTGGCTGTATTGACCCCTATTGGGCTACTGAATTAATTAATACCCACTCCCACTGTTTTCATCACGCAATTAGTGGCCGGTCACACTAGCCATTTAGATCGATCTAAAGACAAACGGGCAAAGTGGGCCAAAGCGAGCCGCGATCGGTACGAAATCGATCGTCTCGGATCTAAAGTAGCTCGATGTAAAGTAGCTCGCATGTAAGTGTGAACATAATTAAGTGTGAAATGAAATTTAGGCAAAGTTAGACTCCATCTGTGTAGCAGCGAATAGTCGTTTGTTGTCTGCCCTCTGTCCACCTACATACGTTAAACACACGCTATCACAGTCACACGCTATTCTGGTGATTACGCTAAGCTATTTGCTGTGATTACCGCGATATCGATCAACGCTATTTATTGCTAATGGGTCAACTCGATCGCACGCTATCCATGTGATCACGCTAGCTTGATATTCAATTCGGCCAACTATCGTTTGCATTCACTATCGCTAGCCTCTGGCAACCACGCTAAACGCTATATTTGTTTTTTTCCGCCCTCCCTCCATACGGTAGGTATGTATAGGTAAGTATTCCACTGACCAGGGCCGGGTTGTTCAAAGCTGGATTAGCGCTAATCCAGGATTAACTCTATAAGTCTTATTAAGAGTTAACCAAGGATTAGCACTAATCGGGCTTTGAACAACTGGGCCCAGACCGTCAGTGTGACAGGTGCACGGTGAGTTGTGTCAGGGTTGCCATGGTTACCGCGATTTAATGTGCCAGACCCCTTGATATAAATAATCCGAAGATAAAACCATGTGCGAGTGTGCGCATTGACAGTGGGTCCACAGTGCTAGAAACATCCCACATGAAACATCAGCAGTTCATTTCGTCATATAAATAGTGAAAGTAGTCTATACTTTATAAGAGCTTTGTGCTTCAGTTTTAGTGTCGTGTAACGTTCGTAAGCAGATGACGTAAGTCGATCGATAAACGTTTAATTATCTAACATCTTAGTGAGTGAGCGAGTGAGCGAGTGGACGAGAGAGTGTGTGATTTTGAATCTATCCAAACTAGATCTATCCAAACTAGTGTGAACGAGCCCCTATTCTCTGCAGGTTTAATAATTAAATTTAAAGTAGCAGATCTTTTTCGCTAAATGACGTGCTCGATTAGTAGCAAGTTCGTTCATGATGAAAAATACATAAAATATTCTTCGATTGCACGTTACGTCATCGCGGCCATGTTGGTGCCATTTAACAAAAGATTTCTCATTAGCATCCATTGTTAACGGCACCACAATGGCCGCCATGTTTTTGTCTTTTGCCTCTCTTGGGAATGCTTGCAACCCATCAATACAGTCCTTTGACTAAACGTTGTCGTTTGATCGGCTTCATCCCTACGCGCGTAGAACGAAAAGGATCATGGGGATAATTAATTCACATTTACTAGCTACCGCATATGTTATCTAACACGTCTTGAGCAAGTTGTATTGGACTGGAAATACTAAATTTTTGGCTCTTATCCCCCGAAAGTAACCTATTTCGAAGCTACTATCTGTAGCCGGTGATAACTCGTGTGAACAGCGCTCAAGCAGATAGTCTTTTAGCGCCTGCACGTTGTCGATCTTTGGGACATCCTTGATGGAATATGATGTCAAACGGCTCTTGTTTTCCTTGCGTAAAACGCGAAGACAAATGTGCATTTTGCTCTCCATTGTGCGATTGTCACCGACTGATAGAGAACAATTAATTATTCATGTTAGTTTACCCGTTATCCTTTTCGTTCTAGGCGCGTAGGGATGATCCGATCAACAACAACGTTTAGTCAAAGGACAGTATATTAGAGAAGATGCTTACAAACCACCTTTCAGATAGACTTTTCGTAAGTTTGGGCGTAATGTTTACCCATTTTAGACCACGTGTCATCCCCAAGAGCATAATTCCTTTGTTTTAACGGTTGTGCATGAAAAGACAAATGAATATTGTTTACTATCAATCACGTGACTTTTTGGAGTTGACTGGGGGGCAAACAAGCGGTTGACTGAGGGGCAACTAGCGGATGTTAAGTCAAAACAACATATCAAAATAAGTCCTCAAACTATTGTATTTGATTATTTTCACGACATCAAACCAGAAAACAAGAGATCAAAACGATCTCCAGGATTCTACAAGCCATCAAAAAAGAGCTGTTAGCGGAAGTGACGTCTATTGATAGTAACCTATTGGATACAACTCAAAGAAAGAATCTTATTGATGGGTTGCAAGTATTCCCAAGAGAGTTAAAAGACAAAAGCATGGCGGCCATTGTGGTGCCGTTAACAATGGATGCTAATAAGAAATCTTTTGTTAAATGACACCAACGCTAATAATGCTTATAGGGTGTCTGTCTATAGTGACTATACGTTATCATGCATGCAAACAGAAAACATTTTCATGTCTGAGATATTTGAGAACAAAATCCAGAATTACACTTCAAGAAGTGGGGATACCGAGCAGTCCCCCGGCAGGTTCTATCCTTATCCCTTACCCCCGTCCCCTGCCCCACCC